AGTATAATTTTTAAATGTGTAATATGAAATACATAGGATTATTGAGAAAATCAATTACACTGAAATTCAGTGATAAAAATATATTTTAAAAAATTTCCCAGACCCTGGTTAAGACTCTTGTGGAGCCTAGGTCTTCTCCTTCATGATTTCTTGCCTTAAACAAAGGCATTTTCTCCTGGCTATGGCAGTGGTGAGCAGAGTTGAACATGAACTCTAATCCCACACCTTCTTGGGTCTGACATCTTTGTGCCCAGAGACATCATGCCATGGGGCAACTTCAGCTCTACCCTCCCAGCCCACCTCCGCCAATAAGGCCAGGACTGAAATGTGCCAGCCCTGATTGGATATTTCCCTCTCCCAGGCCTGTGAAGCCACCATTTGCCTGTGCATTCCTTTCTGGGGCTGGAGGAGACTGCAAATCACCCTAGAGAAGTTTGTTAATGAAGGCATTGACTTGAGCCTCTTCCAAATGGAAATGTGCAGTTACTTGGTAAGTGGAATTCTCAGATGAGCCAGAGAGGAGTTAGCGGCTAGAAGTTCCAACCTGCCCTGGCAGGAAATCTTTAGTGGAGACCCCAAGGGATCTATGCTTGCCCCTGTGCTTTTTAACATGTTTATCACCTTGGATGAAGGATTAAAAATATAGAGGTGATACTAAGCTGGGAGAAGAGCTCAGGCTCTTGGTGACAAAGTCAGAATCCAAAAGATCCTAAAACTCTAATCAACCCAATGACCAAGCATGATTTCTGAGGACCAGTGCTGAAGCCTGCTGCCCCACTGCTGACAAAGAGGTCATGGGCCCAGGGAAAGAACTGATGACCTCTGAATACAGACCGAAACATACTTTTTAAAACTTTCTTTCTCTTGATTTTTTTTGCCTGTTTTCTTTTACAATGTGGCTATTATGGGTATGTCGTGCATAATGTATAATCTATATTGAATTGCTTGCTTTCTCAATGAGGGTGGGTGAGGAGGGAGGAAGGGAGAGGATTTGGAACTCAAAGTTTTAAAAATGAATGGTAGAAATTGTTTTTACATGTAACTGGGGAAAAATAAAATACTAAATAAAAAACAAACAAAAAAGCAATTTAAACCCCCCCAAAAAAACCCCTAGGAGGTGATGGGCCCATGATTAGAAATAAGACATGTTTTTCTAGGGCTGGCTAATATGGGAGTTTGATTTTCCTAACTACAGCTGTCCCTTCTACATTGTAATTTTCCCATCACACTTTCATTATATTGAAGGTTAGCATAAGAAATTAAATGGGAATTTTTTTGGAGTTTTGCGGAAGCCACAGATGACACACAGCCAGCAGACTACACAAAAAGTTTAGAAACTCAGAAATGCATAAAATATATGTGTAGTAGTGTATAATATCAGACCAATTTTACAATAAGCTACTGCAAACACCCCATAAAAGAAAATGAACAAATTCAGACTTTTACTCTGGTATGAAGGGAGGGCCAAAAATTCTTACATGGATTTTCTAGATCATGTGGGCACCGCAACCCTCGCCCCCGTGATGTGGAAGGAATAACTGTGTGTACATATATTTGTTACAAGGGTGTTCTTTTTCTTCTTCTTTTTAAGGGCAAAGCAAGTGGGAGGAGAGAAGATAGATTTTTGTTAATTAGAAAATTAAATTAAATTGAAAAAATTCTTGACAGGCTAGAGCTGATCAGACTGAATCTAATAAAATGGAATTTAATGGGAATAAATGCCACCTACACTTGGATTTTAAAAAACAGCTTCACAACCACAGGGTGCATAGGCATCACTCGACCATGGTTTGTGCAGAAAAGCTCCTTGAGGCCAGGAGCTGCCACCCCTTTTCTTTTGTCTCCGGTGCTGCTCGCTATCCCAGACACCATGGACGCTTAGTTGATGTTTGTTGGGTGGCGCTGAGCTATCTCTTCCCCAGGCTAAGCCTCACTGCGTCCATTGCTTGGCCCTAATCTCCATCCCTGCTCAGCTAATCTGAGTGACTTGACTAGGATGGGAGCCTTCTCCCTTATTGGCGCCATCTATGTGGGGCAGGGTTTGAAGGAAGGCCTTAGTTTCTTCTGGTGATTCAGACAGCCTGGCTCCTTCCTCCACCAGTGCAGGCCACGGCCCCTCCGTGGCTTACAAGGGGGTCTTTGCAGGCTGCTCTGGCCCCCCAGGGCTTGCTCTGGAACCCTGCTGGTTGTGAGCCTTCCCGCTGGTCCCTGGTTCCCCAACCCAACGTAGAACTCGAACCCCTGACACCTTCAAGGTAGAGCCGAATCTGTTGGAGCCTAGGCTTGTCTGACCCAGCCTCTACCATGACCTCAGGCTGTGAAGTGCCCAGAGCCCAGCCTCTGAGACTGCCTGGCCAGATGCTTCCCTTCATGGGACACCCGCTGGAGGGGCTGAGGGAGGGATTGTGGCCAGGGCTCGAGGCATTCCAGGTTCTCCTGTGCAAACAACTGGACATTGTCTTTTACTTCATCCAGGCCAGGAAAGACCCTGTCCTCTTGGACACATTTTGTGCAGAAGCCATTGGCTACTACGACAGCGAGTGGGCCAGGATTAAGGCGGCTGCCTGCACCTTTACAGGTGAGCTGGTGGGTGTTATTTATAGGGTGGCCCAACCACTCCCATTCATTGAGCCATGTATGAGGCCCCTTCCATTCGGGGCAACACTGCAGCTGGTTGCCCTTCTCGTTTGCAGAGGAGGAGACTGATGCTCAAGGAGGTGACTTGCCCCGGGTCCCACAGCTAGGGAGCACCCGCATCCAGTTCCCCTTCCTTCCACTGACCCTGCTGTGTCTCAAAGGACCCTTAGCTTCCTGCAAAGACTGACTCGGGAGCCCTCTCCAGTAGGAAGCCTCCCCTGACTGCCCCAAAGCCTGGAGCTTCTCTTCTCCTCGCTCACACCAGCTCTAGCCAGATGCCCTTACCTGATGACTTGTCCTCCAGCCTGGGGTCGTTGGTGGAGGGCTGGGCTTGGAATCCGGAGGACCTGCCTTCTTGACCAGCCTCCAGCACCTTCTGTGTGACTCTGGGCAGACCCTGGGCAAGGCACTCCACCTTTCAGCCTCAGTTTCCTCATCTGTAAAGTGGAGATAAGAATGTTACCTACCTCTCAGGGTGGAAGCTGTCATACAAGAATGTCATTGGGATGATGGTGCTGATGCGGGGCTGGGTAGGGGGTGGAGAGTCCTAGGAAATACAGAAAACTTCTTTTTCTGTTGTCACTGCAGGGTACATTCTGGAGCAGGTGGTTCCCCAGAACCTCGGAGAGATGGATTTGGAACGCCTGGGTCAGTGTAAGTCATGGGGCTTCTGAGCTCGTCAGTGGGGTGGGCTTTTGGCACTTCAGCACCATGGACAAGGCAGCTGCCCTCCTCGACCTTCCTGCCCACCCCCTGCAGCTCTGTGGAGGTCTAGGGAGGGTCTAGAGGGGTGGGAAGGTGGAGCTAGCTAATGTCTTTGCGGGGAGGCGAAAGGCTCCTTTTGGAACTTCCTTCTGGGGGAACTCTGTCCTTGTTTGGAGCTGTCCATTCTGCACCCAGAGCTGCGTCTGAAAGCTTGGAAAGATCCCCACCCTCTACCCTGCAGCTCCCCACCTGCCAGGCCCCAGTGCCTGTCTATCAGCCATTGCTGATTCCTGAGATTTCTGCAGTCAGTGACTTTCCAACAGAGAGCTACCTGGGAAGTCCTTGCTGATCCAGGCCACAGAGGTGGCTCTGGTGTAGACACTTCGAGAAAGGCAGCTCTGGGACACAGAGACAGCTCTGGTGTAGACACTCCCAAGAGGGCTACTTTCAGACAGAGAGGCAGCTTTGGTGTAGACAGCCCCAGAAAGCCTGCCTTAGGACACAGAGGCAGTTCTGGTGTAGACATCCTAGAAAAGTAACATGTTAGACAAAACAGAATAATCTGCATTTCTATATCCCATGGGACCTCATTTTCTTTCTTTCTTTTTTCTTTTACTCCCCCTCCCCCCAATTAACCAACATTTATTTTCTCTTCCTTATACTGGCCTCCCTCTCATGAGCCTTTGGCCCAGAGATGCCAGTTAGGCCAAAGGAAGGCATGCCTCGGCCATGACAGGAAGCAGAGTCTCCTCCTGCATCCTGAGTCCTTCCCTCTTCCCTCCTCCTCCTGGAGCTGAGAGGCTCCAGCCAAGGGCCAGCATCATAAGCTCGTGCTGGTTGCCAGGTGAAGTTTCCCACAGCCCACGGATGTCTCCTTCTCTTGTTCACTCTCAGGTCTCCAAGCACTACAGATGGACCCTGAGCCCATTGTCCAGAATGCTGCAAAGGAGACCCTTTCTCTTCTTCAGGGCAGGGAGCTAGAGAAAAGTGAGAATATGCCTGTGGCCCTGGAGGAAAACCTTGCCCCCTCAGAGCCGTAGCGGGGGGCTCCTGCCCTCTGCTCTCCTGGGAATGCTCGCTATGGAATGGGACAGACCCAGGCTCAGGGAAATGGCCCGTTGTCATTCAAGGAAGTCTTGGCCCACCTCCCCAAGCCAGGGGCCACCGGGGCAGTGGTGCTCAGGGCAGTGGGCGCCTTGGCCTTGGTACTCCCTGATGGGGAGCTGAGGGGTAGAGCTGTCAATGCTCTGGCAAGGAGGGGGACAGCCGAGGATGGACGGGGATGGAGAGGTGGCAAATCCACTTGTGGCCAGGAGAGTCTCTGAGGGATGGTGCCACGTGTCCCCTACTAAAAGCCTCCTGCACATTCGTCTTCTCCCTCCTCTGCCTCTTTCTTCTTCCCCTCTCCTCATTCTTCTTGTTCTCCTCAATGCATTCAGGGCCCAGCAGAGGCCTCTAGGATCCAGAATCTCTTGGTCTGAACGGCCTGAGCTTTTAATTTTCTGATTGAAATAACTCCAGAGGGGACTTCCCAGAATTGTGACATTGAAGGAATACTGGAACTGATGTGGCTCCTCTTGATTGGGGAGGTCCTGAGCCTTCTACTTCAGAGGACCATGGTTAACGCTCGTCACCTGGCCCACCTTGGGTCCAGCTCTGACGCTGGTCCATAACTGGCAGGAAGACCCCTGCCCATAGCTGCCTTGGAGTCTGAGCTGCCCACATCTGGAGAGGATTTTGCGGGTCTTTCTCAGGGGCCTTTGGAGCACGAGTCCCATCAACCTCCATCTTGGGAGGGAAGAGAAGAGGTTTTGTCCAGTTTTTGTTTGAATTGTTGTCTTGGTAGAGTGTTCCCCTCCGGGGTCTTCCTTAGTGTTGGTTTTTTAAGAAACTGCTTTGTTTTTATTCTTGGTGGATTCTAATAAAGTTTCTTTCTCTGGCCCTGTTTGGCCTCATTCTTTTTCAAAACCATCCAGCCCAGTCTTCGATGACTAAACATCATGATGATACTGACCTGCTTGTGAAACATTGTTTTACAAAATGGTTTCGCTTATATCCCCTCCCCATGTCCTGGGGTGCTCTCTATTTAACAAATAGAGGAGGGAGCTTGGTTTGCCCCAAATCATTCACCAACAATGCCATAGCTAGGACTCGAACCCAAGTCTTTTGGCTCCCAATCCAATGGGCTCCATGTTTGCTCAGGAACATAAGCCACTTTTGAGGACACCAGCCCCTTTTCTCTTGATTTCCCAGATTTCGCGGTTTAATTGAAGCAACTGGAGCTGTACCTCCAGGAGAAGACTCAGAAAAAGCATGAAATCACCTGGAAGAGGGATTAGCTTTGTCCTCCTGAGCCCCAGCAATCAGGACTTGTAGCCAAGGGTGGAGTTTGCAAAGAGGCAAGGTTAGGTTTACTTCTGACCATCAGAGCTACACAAAGGCGTAATGGACTGTCTTGGAGGCAGTGGGTTTCCCTGCTGGAAGTGTCCAATCAAAGATCAGATGCCCACTTATTGGGGATGTCAGAGGGGATTCTTCTGGGGCAGGGGCATGAGTTGAACATGATGGCCCCTGCTCTCCTCTCCAGTTTCCAATCTATGATTTTGAAAAATCCCACCTGAAATATACGATTACAGTGTCACCAGCAAAGTACCTTGGAAATGCCAACCTTTCTTGGTTCTGTCATTCTTGCTGTGGTAGCCCTGCGCCCTTGTTGGCAATAATGAGAGTTAGCTCTAGGAGTGTTCAATTAGACAGCAACCTAGCCCACTGGGTTCTGTGTCTGCACTAAACCTGGCTCTATGCTGATGGGAATTGCATCACCTGGTTAAAAAAACACACAACCAAATAAGCAGAAGATTCCCACCCTCCGTCTTTTTGTTTTTCTTCATTGGGGCTCATTATGCCTGTAGCAGGCAAGCAAGTCTATAGGGTTAAAGCTCGGTGGTGGTTAATAAGCTTGGCAGGCTGCCAGGCCATTAGCTCTTCAGAGGCAGGAGTCACATCGACTCTGGGGATGACCCCAGCCCCGCTTCTTTCTTGTGCCAGCTTGGATTTCCATAACAACTGACACTTGATATGGGGAGTTAGCCAGGAACTAGGCTAATTCCTTGCTTGGATTGGAGTTCTACCATTTAGCTCTTCCAAGAGTACAGATCTGAGGGAGTGCTGCTCTGACATCCCAGAGTTTCTTGATAACAGGTTTGGAAGGGACTTTGGAAGATCCAGCCTGGACCTGGGCAAGAAAGTCCCTAGATAATACACCAAGAAGTGGTCATCCAACTATTGCCTGAAGACTCCTGGTGAGGGGAAACCTTAGTTCCAGCAACCCTGTTGTTTCCAGAGCTGTGCTATCAGGGGTTGGTAGCCTGGACCTAAGGAGCCCATGGATAAATTTCAGGAGGATGTGTGAATTTGGATTACATTACATTCTACTGGGAGAGAAGTAACATCGATCAATTCATTTTAAAGGGAGCCATCTGGTTTATGGCATCTTGTGCTATGTAAAATCACCTATTATTACTAATTATCAATATATTTATAGGCAAATGAATTGTGTATGATAAATGAACACTATATAGCAATATGTAGCGTATATAACATGTAATTAATAGGACTAAATAAATGCATATTATAATAGGAATAAATATGTCATTTCATTAATATATGGATAAATATATGATTATTAAAAAGTAACTGACATTCTTTGAGCTTGCCATCTCATCCCAAAGGATTTGCTGTGTCTCAGATAATGTCATTGTAGTCCAGTGTTGATTTAAATAAGAGTCAGTTTCAACTGATCCACTTACTCAGAGCATCCTAATGTAAACTCTTGAAGTCATGGAGGGTCTTCTTGTCATTGTATTCTTCAGTGCTTAGCATATAGGAGGTGCTTAATAAGTTAGTGCTGAATTGAAGCAAACAGTAGCAATTCATTCAGCCCTTATTTATTAAGCTCTGTTATATGCCTGACACTGTTAGGAGCTGGTGATACAAACATAAACAATGAAATTGTCTCTCCCCTCAAGGACCTTACATTCTACTGGGAGAGAAATAACATCAATCAACCCATTCATAAGCATTTATTAAGCACCTACTATGTGCCAGGGATTTTGCTATATGCCTGGAGTACAAAGAAAAAAAGTATGAAACAATCCCTGCCCTCAGGGAGCTTACATTCTATCATCACCATTATGGTCATAGTCTACTTTAGTCAACTCTGGGGGCAGCTAGATGTCCAATGCCAGGCACTATTATTTTCATTCCATTCCTATCCTTCATCCCACTGTTTCCTTGATATTTGAAAATGGAAATTTTCAACTCAAAGCTTTCTGAGATATCTTTGTGACTTATCTGGAAGGGTTCAGTTGAGTTCGTTTTAAAACGGAGCCATCTGGTTTATGGAAATTTAGAGCTAAATCTCTCCTTTGGTCGCTAAAATATTTGTATTAGGTAAAATATTTGTATCAGCTTTCTGATATTTCTCTGGGAGCTGGGTGTTCAGAGAACATCCTATATGTCCTATCTGTGGTTCCCCTGGTATCTAAAAAGTAGACAAGGTGGTTGGGGAGTGTTGGAGGTGGGAGTGCTTGGATAATGTGTGAATGGCTTCCATCACGTGGTATGGTGTTGTGAGTGATGGCATCTGGCAGATGGCAGTCAGTAGGATAGGTCTTGAGATCTCCTGACTCCTGACTTACTTGAATCCCTAACCAGGAAGAAACCTCTGGAAGGACCTAAAGATAGATACAGGAAGGACCCTGAGAGAACGTAAACTCCTTGGAAGTAAAGACTTTGTGCCCAGCAGTTCTAGCCTGGCCCACAGTAGGTGCTTAATAAAAGCTTGTTGACTGGTTGAGTTCCAAAGAGCTGGACCCTGGGCAGTGTGGCATAATGAATAGAGAACTGATCTTGTGGGGCAGCTAGGTGGCACAGTGGGTAGAGCACCGGCCCTGAAGTCAGGAAGACCTGAGTTCAAAACCAACCTCAGACCAAACACTTGTCACTAACTAGCTGTGTGACCCTGGGCAAGTCACTTAACCCCAATTGCCCCCTCCCCAAAAGAGAACTGATCTTGTGACCTGGTTCAAGCTCTGCTTCTGACACATACTGGTTGCATGACCATAGGCAAGTCACTTAACCCTTGAGTGCCCAAGTCAGTTTTTTAAGACTAGAGGTTGTTGAGAAGATGCTGACTTCCATTAGCAAATGGAGTTACTTCACCAGAGAGTTCCTTTCACCAATGAAATATGAGGTCCAGCTTCTATCCCTTTACTTGTATTATGCAGAGATCCAAATCAGAGAAGTCAACATTGATCACCACTGGCCTGCTGAGGGTGATTATTACTGCTTTGGCATGCAAAGGACTGCTTCTAGGAATAATGATTATGTGAATATATTAATATAATATGAATATATATTATTCACATGAATAATAATAATAATTATTGATCATTCTATTATTTGGAGAAATATTAAAACCTTACTTCTTCTTTGATCACTCTTAAGGTACCATCTATTCAAAGAGAGAGGGGCTGGAGTAGATTGATGATGGTAAGCTCCTTGAAGGAAGGACATGGTGCACCATTCCTGTGTGTCATATTGCTGATTGATGAGTGATTGTAAAGTCCTGGGTTTCCTCTCAGGTTTATATCTATGACCCTATCTGTGATTTACTTGCTATCCTGTGAATGTGAGTGGTTTGAGCTTGGCGCCCCTCCCCCTTCTTGGTCTTCCATCCCCTGCTCCCCAATCTCTGACTCTGGGAGCAACCCTTCTTTAGGGACACTCAGCATTAGGAGACCCAAGTCCAGTGAACTCATCAGTCACATTACAGCAATAGAGGGGTGGGGCAGGGGAAAGCTTCCACCCCTCCTGTTTCTCTCCTTCTGGCCTGAAATTACAACCATCAGAATCACCCACCCAGTGGAAAGAGTGTTGGGCTGGTCCCATTTAGCTCTACTACAAACTTTTCATGTTTCTAACAGAGCTCAGGCATGTATGCAACTCCTCCCTGGCCCTCAATGCCCTCCTCTGAAAA